TCGGGCTTTTATTGCTGAGCAGGACCTTGGATGGCCTGGAAAATCCCTGGGATCAGGCTGGGAAAATGGTCCTGGCTGTGTCCATCTCAGCTTCATGTCCATCCCCAACTTCTGGTCCAGTCCCAACTTGTCTGTCCCTGACTTCTTGTTCTTTCCCAGCTTTTTGTGCATTCCCAACTTCTGGTCCATTCCCAGCTTCTCATCCATCCCCAGATTCTTGTTCATCCCCAACTTATTGTTCTTTCCCAACTTCTTGTTCATTCCCAACTTTTTGTTCATCCCCAACTTCTCATCCATTCCCAGCTTGTCCACCCACCTTCTGGTCCCTCCCGAGTCCTGGTCGGTCCCCAGCCCGCTCTGGGGTCACACAGTGGGAGGAGGAGGAATCCTGGATGTCCCGTGGCTGCTCCAAACACGGGGATGTCACTCTCACATCCCAGACACAGTTTTTGGGATGCTGGAAGGACATTGACTCCATCCCACAGGATGTGAAGAGGTGGGAACAGCCTCGTGAAGAGGAAGGAGGTGGAAGCAGCCTCGTGTCTGGTGCCTTCTGACAAACGTCTTCCCCCTGTTTTCCAAGATCTCCAAAGAAATTTAATGAAGTGAAGATCTCCTTCCCTTTCCTTTCCCTGGAGGATTCCAGTACTGACATTCCACAACATCTGTCTCCCAGAAGCTCTTTTATGCCCAACTTGAGGGGTCCATTGGCCCGAGTTTTCCCTAAAATGCTGAAAACTGGGAGAAGAATCCTCACTGCGAGGTTGGGATGGAATGTGGCCAGTAGGATTTGGTGGAAAAAAAGTGAATGGGCTGTTTCCAATCCGATCCTGGAAAACCCCTGGTGCAGATCAGAAGGACAAAGCGAAGCCAAGTGTGGAAGAGATAGAGAAGCCTTCTTGGAATGACATCCATGCAATTTGGGAGAGTCACTGAGAGCCAGGAGAAGCCCCTCTGAGGGGGAAAAGTTGTTCCAACAGGAGGAAAGAGGCTCCCAAGAGCCAAGGAAAGACCTGGAGGTTGTTGAAGCTGCTCCTCACCTGGACTCATCGTCTGCAGCATGGGTTTGGTTTTCCTGCCCTTGTTCATCCCTGGGCTCCCAGGATCCATGAGGAGTTTCCAACAGGAACGGGAGTTTTGGGAATGCTGGCTGTGCCCCCGCAGCGACAGTCCCTGGGGGCAGGAGGTGCTGCAGTTCCACACTGGGACAACTCCAAGTACTGATGAAATCCATGGATTTAGGCCATGAATTAAAACTGTTCCCTTGAGCAAATACTCCTGAAGAATCCATGGAAAACCTTTTGGGAGTTTCGGGTCCCAAGAGCAGAGGGGGCAGCAGGGGCTGGACAGGACAGGCCAGGGGCCAAAGCTGGGGCTGGGCCGGGCCCAAGGTCACCCGAGCTGGGCAGGACTGGCCTGGGGTCCCTGCTCAGCTGGGGACAACCCCCCCCAGCCCTTCCCAAGGCCTGTCCCAGACATTTGTGCACCTAGAGGATCGTTCAGGTTGGCAAAGACCCTCCAGAGGATCAAATTCCACTGGAAACCTAACACAGGCAAGCCCAACACTGAACCAGACACAGGCACTGGGAGCAACTGGGAGTGGCTTTTGGGGTCTGTGCAGGACACCTGACCAGGAAAACCAGGAAAACCCCCTGGAGGAGGCCCTGGACAGGCAGGAGCCACCAGTGTCATGTCCACAAACCCCCTCAAGAGGGGCTTCACCCACCCAGCACAGAGGGGCAGAATTGACCCGGGAGGTTCTGGGATGTGTCGATGGGGATAAATTCCCTCTCCAGGAGGTGGAGGAGCCAACAAGGGGCAAGGGCTGTGCTGGACCTCATGCTCACCTCCAGGAGGGGTTGAGGGAATGTGGAACGGTGGAGTTGGAGCTCCTGGGACAGTGAGGAGGGCACAGCAAACCCTGCCCTGGGCTCTGGGAGAGCAGAGTTTGGCCTCTGCAGGGATCTGCCGGGCAGAGTCCTCTGGGATAAAACCCTGCAGGGAAGAGAAGCCCAAGGTTGACACTTGAGTGTCACCTCCAGGCTCGGGAGCGACGCAGCCCAAGGAGGAGGAAGTTGGACAAAAACATCCGGGAGGGTGAACAAGGGGCTCCTGGACAAACTCCAGCAGGAAAATGAAGCCTCCAGAGGGTGAAAGGAAGGACAGGCAGCCCGGGAGGAGAACAGAGAGCTGGGCTGAGCAGGCAGGGCCAGGTCAGGAGAGGTGGAGCTCTGGTGGAGTTGAACCTGGCCTGGGACATCAAGGCAACAGAAAAGCTTCTGTTGGTGGCAAGAGGAAGACTGGAGAAGAAGAAGACTTGTCCTTCCTCCAGGAGGAAACAGGAGACCTGGTTCCCCAGGACCTGGAGGAGGCTGAGGGTCTCCAGGGTGTTTGTGCCTCAGCCCTCCCCAGTTCCAGTGCAGGACTGGCAGAAGGAAGGACCGTCCACAGCACGAGAATCCCAGAATCCTGGAGGTTGGAAAAGCCCTCCAGGACCATCGAGTCCAACCTGTGACCATCCCCACCTTGTCCCCCAGCCCAGAGCACTGAGTGCCACGTCCAGGCATTCCTACAGGGCTGGGGACTCCAAACCTCCCTGGGCAGCCCCTGCCAAGGCCTGACCACCCTTTCCAGGAAGAAATTCCTCCTGATGTCCAACCTGGCCCTCCCTGGCTCAGCCTGAGGCCGTTCCCTCTCCTCCTGTCCCTTGTTCCCTGGGAGCAGAGCCCGACCCCCCCGCCGGCTCTCCCCTCCTGTCAGGGAGTTCTGGAGGGAGAAGGTCCCCCCTGAGCCTCCTTTTCCCAGGCTGAGCCCCCCCAGCTCCCTCAGCTGCTCCTGCTGCTCCAGACCCTTCCCCAGCTGGACCCCTTCCCATTCCTGGACTTGAGAAGATCAGAGAGACCATCTCAGGATCCTGAAGGTGCCCAAGTCCGTGGGACCTGCTGAGCTGCTTCCCAGGATCTCAAGGTAGATGGTGGAAGTGCCTCCTCACTCCCCATCGTATCTGAGGAGTTGGGGCAGTCTGGGAAGTTCCCACAGATGGGAAAAGGGGAAATTTGGCCCCATTTTTAAAAAGAAGGAAGAGCCAGGGCACTCCAGGGCAATGAGTCTCACGGTGGCGCCCGGCAAGGTCATGGAGCAGATCCTTCTGGAAGCTGCACATGGAAGATGAGGAGGTGGTTGGTGACAGCCAACCTGGCTGCTCTGAGGGCAAATTGTGCCTGAAATGCTCTCGTGGTGTCACCTGGGGGTGACAGTGCTGGGGGTGAGGAGAGAACAATGACACCATTCCCTGGGCTGGGGCTCAGCACGTGGCACTGTCCCTGTGACACTGTCCCTGTGACACTGTCCCTGTGACACCGCCCCACATGACTCTGTCCCCCTGACACTGTCCCCATGACACTCCTCTCCGAGCTGCAGACACGGATCTGGTGGCTGGAGCTCTGTGGGTGAGGACCCGGCTGGATGGGGACACTCAGAGCTGTGCCCGTGGCTCGATGCCCACGTGGAGCCCGGGGACCAGCAGCTCCTCAGGGCTCAGTGTGGGACTGGAGCAGTTCAACCTTCGTTGGGGTCACGGACAGTGATTGAGGCACCTCAGGAGGAGCTGATGGCACCGAGCTCTGTGTGGGGTCACACCACAGGGAAGGGATGGGACACCCAGAGGGACCCAGACAGGCAGGAGAGGTGGGACTGTGCCAACCTCATCAAGTTCAGTGAGATCAAGCACAAGATCCTTCCCCGAGCTGGAGCAGCTCCAGGCACAAATCCAGGCTGGGGATGAAGGGATTGGGAGCAGCCTCGGAGAGAAGGACCTGGGGTGCGGGGGGATGAGGAGCTCAACGTGAGAAGCTCCATCAGTGGACAAGGGAAGGGCCACAGGTGTCGTTTGTCTGGACTTTCATAAATGTTTGACTTCCACAGACCTCAACACCTCCTGTCTGAACTGGAGAGAGGTGGATTCCATGGTGGATTGTCCCATCCAGAGGGAAGTGGTCACTCAGAGTCCTGAAGGACAGCAGTGACAGCGCTGCCCTCGGGGTCCATCCTGGGCCCAGGGGGGTCTCACATCGTCCCTGAGGACACAGAGGCGTCGGAGCCCCCGGCAGGGCTCAGTGACCCCGAGCTGGGGGTGCAGGGAACACCCTGAGGGACAGGGTCACCCCGAGGGACCTGGACCAGCTCCAGGAGCGGCCCCTGGGATCTCAGGAGGTTTCACAAGGGCTGGTGCTGCCCCTGGGTCAGGGCAACCCCCGGGGATCCATCCAGGCTGGGAATGGCCAGCTGGAGCAGCCCTGGGGAGAAGGACCTGCGGGGCTGGTGGGGGAGAGGCTGGACATGATCCCATGCCCTGGGCTGATCCCACAGAGATCGTGGGCAGTGGGGAGGGGGGATCCTGCCCTTCTGCCCCCTCAGGTGAGACCCCTCCCTGCACCAAAAGGACGTGGAGCTGCTGGAGCAAGTCCAGAGGAGGCCACGGAGATGATCCAAGGGCTGGAAAACTTGTCCTGTGAGGAAAGGCTGAGAGTTGGGATTGTTGGAGAAGAGAAGCTTTGGGATGACCCCATTGTGGCCTCCCAGGGCCTGAGGGGACCAACAAGAACCGTGGAGAGGGGCTGGGGACAAGGGATGGAGGAAAGGACACAGGGAGTGGCTTCAAACTGCCAGAGGGCAGGGATGGATAGGATACTGGGAAGGAATTCTTGGCTGGGAAGGTGGGGAGGGGCTGAGATGGAATTCCCAGAGAAGCTATGACTGCTCCACCCCTGGAAGTGTCCAAGGCCAGGTTGGAGCCACCTGGGACAGTGGGAGGTGACAGGGGTGGAACTAGAAGGGCTTCCAGGTCCCTCCCAACCCCAACCATTCCATGATCCCGTGAAACTTGGAGCAGGTCCTGGCTCAGCCCCACGGGGGGCAGGGCAGGGGCCGGAGGCTCCTGCATCCAGAGGGGCTGGAGAGAGGGGGGTGGGGGCTGAGGGGGAGTGATGAGGACACAGAGCTCGTTATTCCCTTCATTTAATGCTCACTGAGGCAGAAATGTCAGGACCAGGCCCGGCTCCGGCAGGTGACAGGACTCTGGCTTGGGACGGCAGAAATGCTGGGAAGGACCAACTGCTGCTGCTGCAGGAATTCCTGAGTTCCAGGAGCTCCGTCAGACACTCTCTGGGAAGAGCAGCCCCTGCTCCTCGGCCCCGGAGCCCGGGGGGGGGACGTGGTGGAGGGTCCGTCCCTGTAGAGTCACCACAGCCCCCAGGGACACCTTCTGGGGGAATTCAGGGAATTCTGGTCAGGGCCTCACCCCTGCCCCAGAGATTCCCTGCACTGGAAATTCTGGTCAGTGCCTCATCCCACACTGGGAATTCCGGTCAGTGATCCCCCTGCACTGGGAATTCCAGTCAGTGCCTCCCCTAACTGGGAATTCCGGTCAGTCAAAACCAGTTAAAGTCAGTTAAAGCCAGTTAAAACCAGTTGATGCCAGTTGGAACCAGTTGGAACAGTCAAAATAAATTAAAGCCAGTTAAAATCAGTTAAAGGCATTTGGAGCCAGTTGAAGCCAGTTAAAGTCAGTCAAAACCAGTTAAAACCAGTTAAAGCCTGTTAAAACTGGCTGAGGCAGTTGAAGCCATTTAGAGCCAGCTGGAGCCAGCTCAGGCCAGTTAAAACCAGTCCAAGCCAGTTAGAGCCAGCTGGAGCAAGCTGAGGTCAGTTAAACCCAGCCCAGGCCAGTGTGGTGCTGGCCGTGGGAGCAGAGCCGGGATAGAGCCGGGGTTCCCTCCATGGATCCTCCCTGGATCCCACAGGGATCCTCCAGCCTGGCACAGCCCCACGCTGGCTCAGGGCTGGACTCTGTCACCTCAAAGGTCTCCAGTCCAGAGGATTCCCCAAAATCTGATCTAAGTTGGGCATAATTTGGTCCCACCTTGGACCCAAATCCATCCCTGCCCCCTGCCAGGCAGGGCAGGAGCAGCAGCTCCGTGAATTCCCGTTACCTGGAAGTCCCGGATGTAGGTGAGGAAGAAGCTGAGGAAGGAGAAGGCCAAGGACCACTCAGAGACAGTGCTGACCATGTGCAGGGGGTATCCCTGTGGGGGAGAGGGGGAATCACTGGGAAAAGCTGCTCTGGGAGCTGCTGTGACACAAAATGCCTCGGGACATCCCATGGGACATCCCACTGGAGAACACAATTCCTTAGAGCCTCCAGGAATGAAGAGTGGGAATGGCCAGGAAAACCCTGGGATGGCACCCACAGGGAATTTAACACCTGAAGGCTCAATCCAGAGCTGGGCCTGAGCAACAAACCCTCCGGCTCTGGGGACAGGAGGGATTGATTGGAGTTTACAGTTGGAGCTCCAACTGGTTTGGGATTAATTTAAAGTCACACTTGGAGCTCCAACTGTTTTGTGGGAGCAGCACTTCAGCAAGTTCTGGCACAGGTTGTCCAGAGAGGTGGTTGTGGAATCTCTATCCCTAGAACTGCCCAAGGCCAGGTTGGAACAACCTGCTCTATGGGAAGCATGCCTGCCTGTGGAATGAGGGGGGATTGAGGTGCCTTCCCACCCAAAACCATCCTGGGATTCCAGGATTCTGGAGCCCCTCTGCTCTGGAGCCAGGCTGGGAGAGCTGGGAATGTTCCCCTGGAGAAGAGAAGGCTCCAGAGAGACCTTGGAGCCCCTTGCAGGGCCTAAAGGGGCTCCAGGAGAGCTGGAGAGGGACTGGGGACAAGGAATGGAGGGACAGGACACAGGGAATGGCTTCCCACTGCCAGAGGGCAGGGATGGGTGGGATATTGGGAAGGAATTCCTGGCTGGGAGGGTGGTGCAGGGCTGGGATGGAACTCCCAGAGAAGCTGTGACTGCCCCATCCCTGGAAGTGTCNAGAGCTGGAGAGGGACTGGGGACAAGGGATGGAGGGACGGGACACAGGGAATGGCTTCCCACTGCCAGAGGGCAGGGATGGATGGGATATTGGGAAGGAATTCCTGGCTGGGAGGGTGGTGCAGGGCTGGGATGGAACTCCCAGAGAAGCTGTGACTGCCCCATCCCTGGAAGTGTCCAGGGCCAGGTTGGAGCAGCCTGGGATGGTGGGAGGTGTCCCTGCCCGGGGCAGGGCTGGGACTGGATGGGCTTTGAAGTCCCTTCCCACCCACTCCAGCCTGGCATTCCAGGACTCCAGGGAGCTCCTCTCCCCCCCTGCGTTTGGAGCTGCAGGAATGTCCCCCATCCCTGCCAATCCCGTCTGGAGTTGCAGGAATGTCCCCCCGTTCCCCCAATCCCCCCCAGGCCTTACTCTGTCCCGGGGGTCCCAGTGCAGCCTCTGCTCCAGGCCGGATCCGTAGCGGCCACTGTAGAGGAGCCCCGAGGACACGGACACTGTGGAATGTCAAGGAGGGGGCAGGGACAAGGATGGGCCTCCGGGAGCTTTTGGCCTGGCTTTGGGCTGGGCTGAGCCCAGCTTTGGGCTCGGACTGCTCTCCATGAGGCTCCTCAGGGGGAGGAGCAGTGCTGGGGCCACGGGCCCTTCCCACCCTGGAGCTCATCCCAATCCATCAATTCCTGTCCCATCAAAGGGTCAACTCAGCCCTGCACCCACCCCCTTGTTCTCTGGGAGCTGCTCCTCCTCATCCCTCCCAATCCCCATGTCCTCATGGAAGCACAGCTCCTTATCCCTGATCCCAGTGTCCTCATGGAAGCACCGGAGCTGTGACCAGCTGGCAGCACTTCCTGAGCACCTAGAATATTTTCAGGGGTGTTTTCCAGGCTCACGGAACCCAGATCTCTTTCTCCATTGACTTTTCAGTCTCCCAACCACCTGGAATTCTTGCCTGGTGGGTCCCAGGCTGGAATTCTGTGCCAGCTTTCCTTTCTTAGTCAGGATTTGGAACTCCTTGGGATTTCAAACAGCAGCCAAGGGAAAAACCCCCAGTGACTCCTCATTTAATCCCAGACTCGGATCTTTCCAAAGTCTAATCCAACTTTTCCAACCCCTTGTCCAGGGAAGGAAGCCAGGGCTCCTACCTTTGCCAAGGAAATCAGGTTAATTTGGAGCCAATCTGATTTCCCAGCCCTGAGATATCAAACCCCATTCATGGTCAATGAGATCAAACCTCCAGAGCCTCCTGATGGGGAAGGACTTGTTTGGGTGGGGCTTCCCAGCACAAACTGGGAATCCAGACTTCCAAATCTCCCTGAAAGTGGCTGGAGTGGTTTGGGAGCTCTGGATGCTCTGAGTGCAGAAATTCCCCAATTCCCTGGGAATTCAGATGCTCTGGGAGCTCCTGGTCACTGATGGGGTGAGAGGAATCGGATCATTTTCCAGATGACAGTGTCCAGCTGGAGCATCCCATCCCATCCCATCCCATCCCAGGCCTGGCTCGGGGCACAGCTGGGACCAGTCCCAGTCTGGGAGCACTGGGAGTACAGGAGGTGCTGATGTTCAGGTGAGAACCAAATGGATCTCCCAAGGGGACTCTCCCTCCAGTGTCCTGCCCTCGCTTCTGCCTTGTTTGCTTTCAAAGGCAGCACCCTGGAATATTCATTTTTAGTATTTCCTAATTTATATTAATCTTTGTTCCTTAAATGTTCCTTTTGTGGTTGTTTCCTGGAAGGTGGTTCTTTAAATGTTTAAATGTTCTTTGAGAAGATACAGTGGCTCCCACTGTCCAGCAAATATCAGTTATTCCATTTAAACCAGGATTAATCCAAAGGAAAAGCTGGGCAGAGGAGGCAGCTCCCTAAAAACAGAACCTTTTGGGCTGGGAGCTCTGGATGCTGAGCTGAGTGCAGGAATTCCCCAATTCCCTGGGAATTCAGCCACTCTGGGAGCTCCTAGTTCCTGATGGAGTGGGAGGAATTTGATCCTGGTGCTACAAGCCCCTCTGGTTCCCCCCTCTCCCTGTTAGTGGGGCACTAATGACCTTCTGGGAAGGAGAACCCGGAGAACCAGGGAATTGCTGAGGCTGGAAAAGCCCTCTGGGATCGAGTCCAACCGTTCCCCAGGTCACCACTGACCCCCCAAGTGCCACATTCCCACAGTTTTTGGACACCTCCAGGGATGGGGCCTCCAAACCTCCCTGGGCAGCCCCTTCCAGAGCTGTACAACCCTTTCTAGTCAGGAATTTTCCCCAATATCCAACCTGCCCCTCCCCTGGCACAGCTGGAGGCCATTTCCCTTTGTCCTGTCCCTCCTTCCCTGGCTCCCCCCTCCTGTCAGGGCATTCATTTAGAAAATTACTCTAATTTCCCTCTTAGAAAATTATCCTCATTTTCCTTTTTCCCCCTTCCCAACCCACATTATCCCACATCCCTATTTCTCCAGCTTCCCCATGATCCTGGTCACACCACAGGGCTTCAGGAAACCTCTCCAGGCTCGAGGCCTGTGGGGGTTTGGGATGTGGGATTGGAGCTGAACCCTCCCTTTCAGTTCCCCCGTTTGGCTCCTCGGTGCTCAGAGCCCCAAATCCCGTTTGCAGGGATCCCTCCAAAGATTCCTGACAGGGACAAGGAATCTCCAGGTTTCCTGGATGATTTCCCTGCTGTCTCCCAGCCCCCTCAGCAGGGAGGGATTCCTGCCTTCTCCAGCCTGTTCCTCACTATCCCAGCGTGATTCCCAGAGCTCAGGGAGCTGCTCCATCCCTGGGAAATGGGGAATGTGGGTCAGTGCTGGTGTTGGCTGCCAGCCTGGAAATAAGTGGGACTGCTGGGCATTAAATCAGTGGCCTGGATCCAGGGAAGTGTTTAAGCAAAGGCTTTGCACTCCTGCCTTTGGAATGTGGATTCCAGAGGTTTGGAGTGCTCCTGTTTGACACAGAGCTGAGTCTTCAATTCCAAACACAACGTTTGGGGCCATCAGGGTGGTTCTGTTTCCTGACTCTCCAGTGATTCTGGAGAGGGAAAAGGCCTCTTTTGGCACACATGGACAACAACAGGGAATGGCTTCCCACTGCCAGAGGGCAGGGACAGATGGGATATTGGGAAGGAATCCTTCCTGCTACGATGTGGAGGCCCTGGACTGGATTTCCCAGAGGATGCCCCATCCCTGGGAGTGTCCAAGCCCAGGCTGGAGCAGCTTGGGATGGTGGGAGGTGTCCCAGCCCAGGGCAGGGGTGGGATGGGATTTAAAGTCCCTCCAACCCAAAGCATTCCAGGATTCCCTGTTTCCCTGAACCCCACAGCTGTTCCAGTCCTCAGGGTCCAAGGCTGAGGGTGGTGATGGATTCCAGAGCCGAGGGAATGCTGGAGGGAATGTCTGGCACAAACCTCTTGTGTCTGGACTGCAGGATGGGCCAGGGGGGTGTTTAGAAGCCAAAATCCCTTTGGACTCGCCCTCGGAATGTGCACTTCCCTTTCTCCCCATCCTTCCCAACTTACTCAGACCCCCTGGTGATAAATCCTGATTTTTCCTATTTCCAGTCTCTGGGAAAGGGGAGGACAAAGGCTGGGGGCCGTTCCTCTTCCCTTGATTTTAGTGGGGGGATATTAAAAATACTCCATTTTTCTGTATTCCCAGTTGGAATACGGAACACAGCACAGGCTGAGCATTCCAGGTTGGAATAACGAACACAGCCCAGCACAGGCTGTGTATTCCAGGTTGGAATACAGAATCCAGCATGCTCCAAGCTGCACATTCCCAGCTGGAATAAAGAATCCACCATGCTCACATTCCAAGGTGCACATTCCTTCCAGCTGGGGTTACATTAAGCTGGATCTCAAGCCCGTGGATTCTCCCGTGTCCCAGTGGCACATTCCCGGGAAAGGATACTGCTCCCGATGCTGCAGGAGCTCCAGAGGAGCACGGCCAGGCGGGCCCAGAAGATTCCCTTGCCGTGGAATTCCGGCTGCATGTGGAAGGACAGGACGGTCTGGAGCAGCATGTAAAGGGCTCCCACTCCGAAGGTCAGGCAGGCCCCCAGCACGTGGATGTAGTACAGGACACATTTCTGGGAAAAGGAAGCACATCCTGCTTTTCTTGGAACCCCCCGGAACCATTTTCCTCTGGAAAACTTTGGAAGTTCCCCCCCTCAGGGGGAATGTGCAAGTGCTCGGGAGATTTGCCTTGGAATTGGAGTTTCCAGCCCTTGGAATTGGAGTTTCCAGCCCTTGGAATCGCTGCTTTTGGGAAGCTCTTGTGGTGAAATTCCAGGTGAGAGCTGTGCCTTAAACACAGGGATTTGTGGGAGTTGCTGGCATTAATAACAGACACAAATGCAGGAATTGGGGCAGGGAATTCCTGCCAGGAACGGGAGACACAACAGCATTGCTATCCCGGGAATCCAGGAAAGATCATGGAAAACAGGAGAAACACCTCAGAATTCCAGGACCCAAAATGAGAGGAAAAAGAACAAGGTTCAGCATTTCCCCAAAGGACTCTGTCTGAATAAGGACTGTGTGGAATTCTCCAGGAATCCTCAGAGGGAACGAGGCTGAATACGCAGCAACACTTAAAAACACTCCAGGAGAACTGGGAATTCCAACCCTCTGGAAGGAGATCCGAGTGTCCCTCCTGCAAAGCCTGGGCTTTGGAAGGGGCTGCTCATGAGTCCCAAAGGAAAGAAGAAATGACTAAAAAAAAAAAATCCAGTTTTTTTAACAGCTTCCAGGTGGGAATATGACCCAAAAAGCCCCAGTTTGCTCCCAAAGGAAAGAAGGAATAACTAAAAGAAAATTATAATTTTTTTAACAGTTTCCAGGTGGGAATTGGACCCAAACCCTCCAATTTTCCATGAAAACTTTCCCTGGGATTTCAGAAGAAGGCAAGGAAAGCCCAAACCTGGAAGTTTGCGATGATGCAGAGGCCAAAGCAGCTCATCCAGCCCAAGGTGAGGCCAATCCTGTTGAGCCTGAGGATCCTGGAATTCCCTGGGATCAGGGCACACACCTGTTTGTACCGGACGTACGTCGTGGCCACCCCTGCAGGCACAACAGTGAGATTCCCAGGATCCTTTTCCCACTGGGAAGGTGCTGAGTGACACAAGGAATTCCTTAAAATCCAGGGATTTTTTTCTGGATCACAGGAATGGGAAAGCTGAGGGGCTGGGAGTGCAAACTGGGATGATACAGCAGCAAAGAATTTCAATATATGGATTTTCCCGAGATTTTCTTCATTTACAACACACCCCCCCCCGTTGGTTTTTCCCTCCTTCCAGGTAAATAACTGCCTGGAATTCCCATTTTTGGTGCTTTTATTCATCTCATTGGGTTTTTAAAGCCTTTACTGCCCTTCTGGAAGCTGCAATTCCCATGCTAGATTCCCAGATAACCCCCCTGGCCCATCCTTTCCTCTCCACAGAGATTTATTGCCCAAGGTTTGGTTTTTGCCTGGGATTTCTGGGCCCATCCATGACCTGAGGGGGAAAGGAAATTGTTTGGAGCTTTTCCCACTCACCCAGGAAGGTCGAAACATTCAACATGATCCCAAACAAGCATCTTTCCGGTGGAATCGTCCCTGTGTCGCTGGAGAAGAGAAATTCCAGGGATGGAGCAGCCACAGCTGCTCTGGGAATTCCATCCCAGCCCCTCCCAGCCAGGAATTCCTTCCCAATATCCCATCCATCCCTGCCCTCTGGCAGTGGGAAGCCATTCCCTGTGTCCCGTCCCTCCATCCCTTGTCCCCAGTCCCTCTCCAGCTCTCCTGGAGCCCTTTAGGCCCTGGAAGGGGCTCCAAGGTGTTTGTGGAGCCTTCTCTTCTCCAGGTGAACATTCCCAGCTCTCCCATCCTGGCTCCAGAGCAGAGGGGCTCCGGAATCCTGGAATCCCAGGATAGTTTGGGTTGGAGGGACCTTAAATCCCACCCAGTTCTACCCCTGCCCAGGACAGGGACACCTCCCACCATCCCAGGCTGCTCCAGCCTGGCCGTGGACACTCCCAGGGATGGGGCATCCTCTGGGAACTCCATCCCAGCCCCTCCGCACCCTCCCAGGGAGCAATTCCTTCCCAGTATCCCATCCTACCCTCTCCCAGTCTGACACAATCTCCAACTCTCTCTAACAACCCCAACCAGGAACCACAACCTGGAGCTATTGGGACAAACCCTTGGAGTCTGGGAGCTGGGAGGAATTCCCAGGGCTGGGACAGGGACACATCCCTGACCTGATGTAGGGCACAGGGACAATCTCTGACCTGATGTAGGGCATAGGGCACATCCCTGACCTGATGTAGGGCACAGGGACAATCTCTGACCTGATGTAGGGCATAGGGCACATCCCTGACCTGATGTAGGGCACAGGGACAATCTCTGACCTGATGTAGGG